TTTGGAGACTAAGAAACCATTAGAAACCCTTCTTCACCAAAGAATGTGTGGTATCCTGAAATTGTCATCAAACATTGTGATGATGGCAAGGTTATAACTAAGCTTCCTGGTCATGCACAAGCCAAATATTCTTCCTCATTACAAACCATGAGTATTGTTACGTCCCAACAAAGCAAGCAATTCAAAATTCAACCATCCTGGATTATTCATTAAAGACAAAATGAGGTGGTACTAGGGAAACTACAAAGGAAAGAACAAATATGTCTTCTAATTAAATCTGTTTTGTTTTCAATACAGGCTTTGTTACTTAATAGTTGTGTATCCTTGAAATTCTACATTTTTCTTAACTATAAAATAAGTATGTTAGTTTTTATTGCATGTGACTGTGGATAAATGATAACAACATGGGAATGGAATCTAACACATGGTCTTGATACTTGGTAGGCATTTTTGATGAATTACATGTATTCAGTCCCTAAAGATGAGAAGGAAATCATCAATCATTATAATAAACAATTAACAGCATTTATAATCAAGGCTTTAACTATATTTCCACAAAGGTTAGAATGATACTTACTTGAATTATATAAAAAAAGTTTTTGAGCATGAATGTATACATTTTTGAAGTATTATTTAAGAAAAATTATCCCTGGTTCCCAAAATGAATAGTAACCCCTGAACTGTAAAAGTTACAAAAATCCGTTACATTTCTAAAAGACATGAGGATGGCAGGTGCACTGTTAATCCTATGTTTTAAAATGATAAGTATTTTGAATCACCAAATGTTACCAATATTTAAGTACTTAATGAATATTCTTAAGGCAATTCAGATAGCTTAGAGGTAAAATGTAGACAAATTAACTGTAATGAAATTTCCTTTCTGTTAGGCAAAAATGAGGAAAGATATCATTGTAATATTACTGAAGCTGATTTTTATATTACTTCTGTGCTACTGGGAAAAGGAAGTAACATTCATGATGAACATGTGGTTTCGGATTACCAAAATGTTGCTACCAGAAAAGGATGGAAAGAAAAGCTTTTATTTTTTCTGGGAACTTTCATTTCAGTGTAGTCATATCTCAAGGAAAGATCAACTGCTTGTGTGTACCAGTTGACTTCTCATACATCATCTCCCCCTGTGTAACAATGAAGGAGCATGGGCTCCAGAGGCTGAGTTACCCTCTGTCTGTTCTAGAGGAATTTGTTGATGTTGTGAGACAACCACGTTGTATTTATTCAACGTATGCCTTCATTTGAAGAGGCTAAAATTGTTTAGGCATTTATTAAGACCTATGTTTAATTGGGGTGACAGTCGTGGAAGGAACGGATGACATTTTGGAGTAGTGGAACTACAGTAGGTGTTATTTAACATCTCTCAATTTGTTGTTGAACACTAAATGAAAATGTGGTAAAAACTGAACAGAGGCTGTCAGTTGGGATACATTAGATTATGGTGTGATAAAAAACTACTCCTGGGGCCAGCGCTCTGGTGCAATGGGTTAACACTCTGGCCTGAAGCGCCGGCATCCCATATGGTTGCCAGTTCTACTCCTGGCTGCTCCACTTTCGATCTAGCTCTCTGCTATGTCCTGGGAAAGCAGTAGAAGATGGTCCAAGCCCTTGGGCCCCTGCAACCATGTGGGAGACCTGGAAGAAGCTCCTGGCTCCTGGCTTTGGATCAGTGCAACTCTGGCTGTTGTGGACAATTGGGGAGTGAACCAGCAGATGGAAGACCTCTCTCTCTCTTTCTCTCTCTCTCTCTCTGCCTCTCCTCTCTCTGTGTAACTCTGACTTTCAAATAAATAAATAAATTTTTTTAAAAAAAACTACTCCTAATTCTTAGTGGCTTACAATCCAGAATATTTATTTCTTGCCCATTGTATCCAAGCTGTGGCTCTGCCCATGTCACTTTCACTTCAGGACTGAAGAAATTGAATAGCCTTGGTTTGAGAATGGCTGATCTTCTGGTGGAAGGATAAGAGACATGGTAAACTTTATTGATACTAAACCTTTGCTCGGTAGTGACACAACTAAATTTCTCAAAAGCAATCACAGGACCATGACGGAGGTCAACAGGACAGGGCTGTATAATTTTCAGGCAGGAAGGAGTTGCAGGTCACATGACCGAGTTAGACATTAATGGAGTGAGAAGCAACAGAAAGGAGGGAAAACTTTAAAATAACGTTAAAATAGCAATGAAGTCATTATCTGTGAATAATACAACTACCAATAGGACTTTGTGAAGATGGAGTGAGACAGTATATTCTTTAAAAGTACAATGGTAATGTCCACTGCCAAGATGTTTAGATCCAAAGCAAAAGATATCTAAATGGATAGTTTACAAAGATCAAGTAAAAAGCTATTTACTCCAGGAAAGAGCACATCTCTGATATATATATATATATATATATATATATATATATATATATTAGTATACTACACGTTTATTTGTTTTTCCTCAATGTTAATGCTCACTCTTTGGAAACATTTTTTCACTGGAAACAGAGATTTACTAAACTAGCTAGGATATGTTGCGCAGAGTAGAATGCTCTTACTCAAATGAAGATGGGGTTACTCATGGCTAATAATGAGAACTTTGTTATTTTGATGAATTGTAGATGGGCATCTGTATTTCTCCATGTTTCTAAGATAGTTTGGTCTGATTTTTTGTGCTTGTTAAGCACATGGATGCAGAAAACAGCTAGAAAGCCAGAAGTCAACGTTAATTTTGCTGATAAACAGGCTTGCGCTTTGGCTATTTACCTATGGCCTTCTCAGTTAAAAAAAAAAATAAAGGCAAGGGATATTTGATCAATAAAATCTCATTTCTTGTTGAAAATTTGATACTTCTGCTCTTGCTGCTCCTCCCAGCAATAAATGGATCAGTGAATCACCCATTCATGTTTTGATGAATCACACAATCTTTCTTAAAATGTTCTTAAAATAATATGCCTGGGTTCTTTGAACTCAAAAAGAATGAGCACAGGAGTATACAATACTTTCTCCTTTTTTATTCAAATCTTTCCTCACTTGTCTTTTCTTAGCTATTCTCTACACATGCATTTTCATACATTTTTATAAGATTGTTGCAATTTTCCAGTAATTATTGACCTTTTAATTTTTATTTTTGGACTTTGTGATGTAGGATCATCATAGATGGTTGTATAGATTGTGTGCAAACCTAAGAGGCAATATCCAAAAAATTTTTAAATAGGTAAATAATTTAATGATACAACACTCAAATTTCTTTAAACACATTTCTTTAACAATATTTTTTCTTTGGAGTACAGATCTAAAATGTTACAAATTGAGTCATGAATTAAAAAATAGAGAATGAAAAAAATCCTCCTGGCTGAGGTTTCCAGTCCTTACTTCCACAGCCTCAGACAGTTTCTGTTGAGGATATTTAGGTAAGCCTTTAATGGACAATTTGCAAAGACCCCAAACCAGAATGGCTGCTCTGTTGAGCTCCTGGGGTGGGAGATGCTGAAGCAATCTACTTCCTACAGGAAACCCGTCCCATTTGCTGTTTTGTTTCCATCCAGGCCCATGCATAGGAAGCACCACTAGGTAGCTACTGACTAGTAAAGAATGGAGAGAAAAGTCATGTTGAAAAACGGTTTTCTCTTAAACAGCAAGTAGAAAACAGCTCCCAGTCCCGCTCCTGGCCCTGTGCCAGCACCTTCTTGCTTCTAAAGCTGGGGCTAAGAGCTTACGGTGAGGCCTCAGAGATAGCAAAAAACTTAAGGAAACCAGAGTTGCTGCAACGTTTCCATTCTTCCAGGAAGGAGAAACAGACAACGACTGCTACTGCTGTGTTAGCCTCTGGCTTCCAGCATCCCACCTGCCTAAGAACACTTTTTATTGTGAGACTTTGCTGGTCCTGGAGCAGCATGCTCCAGTGGTGATGAGAATGACCCTCCTACACACATGCCAAAGGGTAGCCGCCCATCCGCAAACCTGCGGGGGGTCAGACTAACGGGGTTGGGCGGTGGTTTTGGTTGATATAAACATGCAGTTGGCAGAGATTAATAAGGTGCTTCTATGTCCTATTGCTTTATAAAGTCACTCTCCACGTACAGTCATCATTACAAGTCACGGAGGACCTGTACCAAACGTAGGCGGCTCCTTGCTGGGGACTAGTGGCAGGGAGTTACAGACCCAAAGGTAAGCTGCTGGCAAGTCAGCCTGTGGACAGAAGCCTGGGGTTCTTTCTAGTTCTGTCCCTCAGTCACCAGCCAGCAAACAACGACTTCTCTCGGCTTTGGCACTCTGTTCCCTGGAAGGGTTTCCCATCAGTGGAGAAAGAGAGGACAGTGGGTGGTTTAAAGACTATGCTTTCCTTTTCTTTTCTCTTTTAAAGATTTATTTATTTTTTTGAAAGTCAGAGTTACACACAGAGAGAAGGAGAGACAGAGGGAGAGAGGACTTCCATCCTCTGGTTCACTCCCCAATTGACTGCAATGGCCGGAGCTGCGCCAATCCGGAACCAGGAGCCAGGAGCTTCCTCTGGGTCTCCAACATGGGTGCAGAAGCCCAAGGACTTGGATCATCTTCTGTTGTTTTCCCAGGCCATAACAGAGAGCTTGATCGGAAGTGGAGCAGCCAGGACTGGAACCGGCACCCATATGGGATGCTGGCACTGCAAGCGGTGGCTTTACCCACTACGCCACAGCACCAGCCCCACACATTTTCAATCTATAACTTATATGGATTTTAATCTGTATGAGTTGTGGGGATAGTAAATATTTATTTTAGTCTCTAATGTTTTCTCTTGTAATGCTTGAAGCTAATATTTAAGTTTTGGGCATTATACTATTAGGAAAGTTCATATGATATGCTGAAAACATTGTCTTACTGAAGGTAACATTTCTGGAATGCTTTATTTCCATTTCCACAACTCTTTTTGCCATTATAATAAACTATTTGTAATATATATATATATATATATATATATAGTTCAGCTTTCAGTCATCCAAATTTTTCTTTTAATTATTTAGTGTTGATAAAGCAGATGATGAAGATGATGAGGATTTAACAGTGAACAAAACTTGGGTCTTGGCACCAAAAATCCATGAAGGAGATATTACACAAATTCTCAACTCATTGCTTCAAGGCTATGACAACAAACTGCGTCCAGATATAGGAGGTAAGTTTGACTTATTGTGAAATTTTGCTTACTATGAAAAATATCTTCACTAATGCTCTTTTAATCATTCATTTCATATTATTTTAGTATCTGAAGTAAGTGAGAGACCTTTCTGGTCTTGAGGATTATTAGTATGAATTGGCATTGTATTTGAGAAATTCATAATCTGAGGTGAGAAAAAGCAACATCTAAGCATATTTAATATACTTATTTTATAAATGCTACGATAAGAGGTGCAGCAAGAGAATTTTGTTAAATTGTCTAAAATGTTGGGAATTATGATATAATACTTGAAATGTAAATAGGACTTCTAGTTGTGTTCCAATTGTGCACTGTTTATAATCTCGATAGTACAATTCATGTAGAAAATCAACTTTGTTCTTCAATTACTCTCCGTTCCTTTGCATTTAGGTATAAATTTTATAAAATAGTAAATTTTCTGTATGACTCTTTAAAACAAGCAAACATAAAAGAGCATAAATTTTCATTGACATTACTTATACATCTATCTAGAGTCAATATATGGAGATTGATATGTTTGCCATGTTGAATTTTTACAACAATAAAATCATGAACATCATATATTCCTATTAAAATGCTAAAATTTTATGAAGATTTTTCATAAAGAAAAATTTTAAATGTGTTTTAGATTTACTTCTGTAGAATTGAATTATCTGATATAAGAGTAGATGAATTTTTTTAAGTTCTATTCCAATTTAGAAGGAATGGATAAGATCTGGTGTTCTATAGCACTGTAGGGTAACTATAGTTCACAATAACATATTATATATTTTATGAAGTAATAGAAGAATAGTGGTCAAAGGCGACAAACATAATGGTAAGGAGATAAAAATATTAAGTAAGTACTCTGATTTGATTTGTACATATTGTATAAATATATTGAAATATCACATTGACATTATAAAATAATTCAATACTAGAAAAATTGACAAATACAACAGAATAGAAAGTCTGAATTTACTTATATTTGATTATAAGTACTATAATTTCCCATCAAAAAGCAAACTCTAAATAAACAAGACTGAATTTTTAATTTTAATTATTTTAAATAAGGAAAAAGTAGCATATATCTTAACTCAGAAATGCGAAGAGAGGGAAAACATAATTTATTGGTATATGTTAGCATACTATTGATTCCAAAAACTGAAAAAGTCATTACAGAAAATAAAATAAACAGTCAATATCTCTCAAGGACATATCTATTCTAAATATGTAAAATAACTACTACCAAATTAGACACAGTGGTATTTTTAGGGGTTACTGTATTAGAATCAAGTGGCATTTGTGAAACAGAAGTTTAGTTTAAATTGTAAAAGTTACTCAATGTTATTTGTAAAATATTAAGCAGAATAAAGACCCAAATATAATCTATATGATAACAATCATTTAGGATCACAGTTTTTTCTCCTGTTGTCATTCCTGTTATTAGTAATACATTGCTTCACTTATAAATCAATCTTAAAGGGATTTTCCAATTTTATTTATACTGTCTTGGAGTCGAATTTTCACTTTGTCAGTTTTCTGCATTGAATAGTTTATCTTAAATTTCATTGTTTTATAATATTTGGTGTATTGTCTGAATCAATTTTCCTTAGGTTTCATTTCTTATTTTCATACTTGTTTTAAGCATTGAATTTCAAAATAAATTTTAGGCTTAGTAATATAAGATCTGTACATGGAATTCTCACGAACCCTTACATCTTGCAAAGCTACTACTGATGCAATACTATTAATTAATCCCCAAGCCTTTTTTTATTAGTGACTCATTAATGTCCTTCTATTTCTGATTTAAAACTCCAACCAAGAACACACATTCCGTTTTGTCTCCATGTCTCCTCCAGTCTGCTATAGTTTCTTAAGTTTTTGTTTCTTTCATCATCTTAAAATTTAAAGAGTGTTTGACATTTCAATGACTTTTCAATTTGAGCTTTTCTGATGTTTGTACTAATATGTTGAGGTTATACATTTTTACTGAGAATACCACAGGGCTGATATTGTGTCTTTTCAGTGTATTAGAGCACAAGGTAACATGTTATTGCTTATTTATTTCCTGTGATTTTAACTTTGATCATGTGACTAACCAGAATTTCTTCTAATTTTTTCCTCCATAAGGTTATTAGTTTTCCATTTTCAAATAATGGCTATGTCGTGAGGAGATGTTGAGACTATGCATATATTTGTCACCACACATTCTCTAGTATCCATCAAAGCTCCTTAACTCTGACAGTTATTACCCTTCTGCTTGTCAGATGATGACTCGGTATTACCATAATTCATTTGATAGATATTAATTGAAATTCTAGCGTAAGGAGTAGCTGTAGGAGGGTATTGCAGAAGCTTTTGTAGAATAGAATTAAAGTATATTCATTTTGGTGCAAAATATTTTTGAAATCCATGCATAGTTTTTATATAATACTAATTTCTCATGAAATTTTTGAAGACTGATCATATTATCCCAATTCTTCAAGTCTCCACTTATTTTAGCAATTTACTATGTATCTACCTATCATATATATATGCCTATGAAAGCAAAATTAACAAGTGATATATTCATTTTTTTTGTCTTTTGCTTTACTGTATGTGATCAAAATATTGTTCCCCAAATTTACTGAAGTTAGATCTTATCCACCCCCTTCTCTCCAGGGTAATTTTTCTTTATTTTTGATTCAGTGTATTTCAGGTATTTCTGGTTATGTTCTAACTTGAGCTCAATCCATTTTCTGGTTATTTTTGATAATTTATTTTTGTAACTATTAGATTATTGAAAGCAAACATGTAGTCAGTGGAATGTTTCTTTTCTAACTTGCCTCTACTTTGTTCACATTCTTGTGATAAACTAAAGTTGTTGGCTTCTGCTTAATTCTTGTGCATTTACTTGCACAATTGAGAAGATATTTTTTCTTATATACTCTTTAACTTATATGAAACATAGTCTACTTTAAATATTATTTTATGTTTTGCTATTTTTCACTTAGATCTTTTATATTCTTTTTTAGTATATGCATCATAAACCACTGTGAAATTATGTCATAATTTAGTCAGCCAACCCTATATGTATGGTTGTTTCCAGTACTTTGCAAATACCAACAATGAAGCAATGCATAGTTGTGAGCATATATATATATATATAAACATATAATATTTGTGTTATTGCATGTTTAAATTCACAGTAAATTTCTACACATTAAATTGTTGAATCAAAACATATGTGCATATGTAGTTTGCTCAACATTGATTGATAAAATTCCACTCCAGGATGGGTATGCAATTTTAATTCCTTACAATAACATATGGAATTCTAACTTCTCTATAGTCTGAATAATGGGATATAGTCTCGTGACTTTTAGTTTTGTCCATCCTGATAGCTCAGAAATATTGTATCATTACTATATTAATTTTTGTTTAATTATAAGTGCTTCAGAATGTCATGAGTTTGAGGGCCAATTTAATATCATTTTTGAGAATTTTCTGTTCATGTTTATCTCTCATTTACTAGATGATATTAAAATCTTGATCCCTCTATTTTAAAACTTTTGGAGCATTTATTTGAGAAGCTGTGAAACAGAGGTGAGGGGCGCAGAGAGGTCCCATCCACTGGTTCATATCAAATGTCTGCAGCAGCAAGGACTGAGTCCACTGAAGCCAGGAGTTGAAACTCCACCATGGGAGGCAGAAGCTCAGTTCTTTGAGCCATCGTGTCTTCTTCCCAGGGTCTGTACCAGCCGGAACCTGGAGTCAGGAGCTCGAGCCAGGCATCAAATCCAGGCACTCAGATATGAGATATAAGATGCTGTTATTTTAACTCCTAGGCTAAGCACCTGTCATGAGAGAATTTTATATACAAAAGATTGTAGAGCGCTCAATAGTACCCTCCAAAAATACATGCCCATGTTCTCATCCCAGAATCTCTGCATGTGACCGTATTTGGAAAGATGGTCATGCTGGAATTTCTCTGTGATCCTAAATCCAATGGTAAGGATTTTCATAGAAGAGAAGGAAGAGATGGACAGAGACAAACAGAATGAGAAGAAATAGATGATAAATGATGAAAGATAAAGGCGGCCCCTTAAGGTGAGGGATACTGGTAGCCACCAGCAGCTGGAATAGACAAGAAAAGATTCTCCTCTGGAGCCTCCTAGGAGTTTAGCCTGTTGACACTTTGATTTTGGATTTCTAGCAGCCAGAACTGAGAGAGAATAAACTGATGCTCTTTGAAACCAAATTGATGGTAATTTTCTTGTCCCATGAATGTTTACTTCTGGTACTTGTGTGATTTTAGTTTTTGTGTTTGGGTCCCTGACCCATTTAGAAATTTTCCCTGTGCGTGGAGTAAAGTGTAGATCTAATTTTACCTTTTCAAATATTTATTATGTAGACTCAGTATCATTTTTTAAAATGTCAATATTTCCCTCTGCTGTTTGAGACATCAACTTTGTCGTACTTTACAATTTTGTGTATTTTAGTTATTTCTGGCGTTTCTGTTTCATTATCTGGCCTATTTCTCTATTTATGTGCCACTACATTATATTAATGGTAGTGGTTCAGTAATATATTGAGACAATAGCATTTATGCTAATGTCTTATAAAGTTAATCTCATCCCATAGCTTGATTTGTTTTTTATTCTTTTCCTTGTTTTTGTTGTCATTCTTGTGTTTTTATATTACTATATGGTCTTTATTTTCAGCAAGTTTAGCCTAATGAACAAAGCTATTCTAGTACAGTGCTGATGAACAAAGTGGTCTAGTCTACTATTGAATAGTAGAGGCGATAGTGGGCAACGCCCCCATTGTGAGTCTTCGAGGAAGTGGCTTTAGTGTTTTCTTCATATGTGTACTCACCTCAAAAAATTATTCCCCAATCTTCCTAATATTTTTTAAATAAGGAAATGGTGTTGGAACAAACTCATTGGTATTTATCCTAGAATTATGTGAAATACACAAATTAACTTGGGGAGAACTAAGAGTGAAAAGTCTAACAC